AGAGTATTGCAGATGTTGCCGAAATGCATTCCCATGTGCACATAACGACCATCTACCGTCTTCAGGAACGTTTTGCTGCTACACAGACCACTGTTGACCGCCAACGTCCTGGACGTCCGAGAGAATCAACGCCCGCGGCAAGATCGACACATTCAACGTTCACTTTATCGGGATCGATTCTTATCTGCCAACAGAGACTGCCCGACAGACTATTGGACGTCACAACCAGGCAATAAGCAGAGATTAAAGTTCAGCGCCAGACTCCAGAGCAGTCCACCTCCGTTGTCGTCGTCCAGCTCGACGTCCTATCCTCCACCGAGAGACATCGTCAGAATCGTCACCCACCCAGTGGGCTACGTTGCATCGAAACTGGCGTCATCAACAGTGGAGACTGGTATTGTTCTCTGATGAAAAGTCGGTTTGCATTTCTCATGCTGACGGCCGAGGTTCGAATATGGCGAGAAGACGAGGGTAGACGCTTTGCTGACAGATGTGTAATGCAAGATGATTGCATGGGGAGGTCGGAAGTGTTATGGTATGGGCAGCGATTGGCCTACATCGAAGATTAGGGCCGATGTTCTTCCAGGAGAATGTGCCAGGTCGAGAAATGGAGTCACTGCCCAACGTTATATCGACCAAGATCCTTCGAAGACCCCAGGTTGTGCCATTTTTCGTCCTACACCAACAACACACCTTTCAGCAAGATAATGCCGGGCCCCACACTGCTAGAGTCACTCAGGCATTTTTTCCAGCAGCATAACATCCGACTACTGCCATGGCCTGCTGTCAGTCCCGATTTAAACCCGATCGAACATTTTGGATGAGCTGCAGAGACTGAATGAAGTCTGACAACGTCCGACAACTGCAGCAGAACTCCGGGCAGCCATCATCCGGACATTTTGCGGCAATCCCTGGGGACTTTGTCAACCGTCTGATTCACTCCATGTTCGGAAGCTGATTGCACGGCTGTAGTGAATGCCGCGAGGTGGTTATCACGCGCTACCCTGACTTGTTGGATCAAGATTTCGATTTTTGTCTTCAAGGTAAAGTAAACCAACAATGTTTCCATGCATTGACTGACATGTCCCAATCATCATGCAACGTAAGTGTTGATTGTTAGTATGTACCTGTTTTCATGTATTATCTGTCAAAAGTAAATTTTTCCAAAATCTGGATTTTTTGACTTGCGTTTCTTTTGCGGTTCGAGTAATATATCAGCCAAATCGGAAAAAGCAGCTTCCTCGAGTTTTTCAGGATTAATGTCAATGAGAGAGATAGACACCATTAGTCCGTTTGCTACCTGCATGGACCAAAGTCGGATTCATATCATCCAGCACAGCCGTTGGTGATTGTAATTAAATTTAAGCAAAATGTACAAGCACAATACTACGCTTTCAGAAGCATTCGGTAAACCCGGATTTACTTTTTAATGATTTGGGACTTCCAGTATCCCAACAGGAGGACATCTCGAAGACAGATCATGATTTAGACAGAATGTATCTTAATGCTTACATATGTGCTAAATTTTGATGATGAATATTTAGAAATCACCAGACCGATTTGTATCTGCCCAGTCCTGTAGAGCGCCTTTCTGATGAAACCGTGAAGATCCGGTTTAGAATTGACTGGTGTAAGGTCATCTGGTAGCTCCCAATAGTTTCCTTTCGATTTCAACATTCCTGCGCGGCTCTGTAAATAATTCGGGCGATTGGGGTAACAGAATGGTTGAAGCATTCTTTCATCACGCGCCGAAGACCGGGTTCGATGTCTCACATGTGGTACAGTGTTAAGGAAGCCCATTTATGGAGTCCCCGGCTGTGATATTGCTGAAATATAACTAAAAGCTGCAAATGAAATATACACTCCATTGTAAATAATCTCGTCGGGACGAACATTTCCAGAGATCAACATCGCGAGAATGGAATCTGTGCAATTGGGATGTATTGACATTTGTCAACCATGTCAGCCGAATCTGACCAGCCGATCCGGTTTATGGCCTCTTATGGAAATCAGCGTCCCGCCCGAGGAAGCCCGGAGGAAGGTCGCGAGTTCCATCCCCGACCGCGATCATACCAAAAGACGTTAAAATATGGTACTTGTTGGTCTCTGCCTGGCGCTCGAGCATTAATGGGTACAACAAGGACTGGTCGGCTCGGAGTCAGTATAATCTTTCTGAAATTAAGGTTATTCATGCTTCACTGCGGCTATCGAAACCAGCTTAAGTCTGGGCTAGTACAAACAGCCGCACGTACACACACACGCGCATGCACGTCGTCATATGAACAGAAATATTCTCAAACCACGGCGTCAGAAACCAGAATTCCACCTCACCTCCGCCTCACCTCTTATGGAAAGCATGGTTTGGATGAAGACCAATTTTGACCTGAGATCTTCACGGGTCACAGTATTTTTAGAATGACATCAGCAGATAATAATACAGAGGTTATGGGGCGTGTCTGTGGCTTTGACATGAAGCTCTCATACTGTATTAGAATAAGTAACAGATGGGAAGCAGAGCTGCACTGAGAGACCTCCAGAACATGACGTTGCCAAACAGGAATCATTTCCTAACAGCTCACTTCACGACGCCTGTAAGAAGGGGAACCTGGTCCGAGTGAGACACATCCTGTCCAGGGGTTTGGACGACGTTAATAGAAAAGACAAGAGAAACAGAACACCACTCATGATGGCAGCAAAGGAGGGGCAGAGAAAGAATAGTTGCGTTTCTGCTGAGAAAAGGAGCTAATGTGTCACACGTTGATAATAACGGTGACAACGTCCTGCACTGGGCCTGCAGTGGGGGACATGTGGATATGGTGAGCCATGTACTCTCGCTACAGAGTGTTAATGTTGACAGTCAGGGGAAGGTTTGGTAGAACCCCTGATGACGACTATATTTAGAGGACACATAGAAATAGTTGATGTTCTCCTGCGAATGGGAGCTAACGTGTCACTGGTTGATGATACCGCTGACACTATCTTGCACTCGGCTTGCAGAGGGGGACATGTAGATGTGGTGAGGTATGTACTCTCGAACTTCAGTGTTGATGTTAACAGTAGAAGCAAGTCCGGAAAACTTCCCCTGATGACGACCGCATATCATGGACACAGAGAAGTATTTGATGTCCTTGTGGGTATGGGGGCTAATGCGTCACAAGTTGACGTTGGCGGTGACAACGTCTTGCACTATGCCTGCAGAGGGGGGCATGTGGGTATGGTGAAGCATCTACTCTTGAACTACAGTGTGTATATTACCAGCAGGGGAATGTATGGAAGAACTCCCCTGATGATGACTGTAAATTATGGATAGATAGACTTATTTACGTATCTCATGAGATTAGGAGCTAATGTGTCAGACGTTGATGATCACGGAGACAACATACTTCATCTTGCATCAGTTGGAGGACATGCAAAGATGATTCGGCATATCATATCACAGGACATCGTGGACATTAACAGTAGAGGAAGATATGGAAGGGCACCACTGATGAGAGCAGCATATTATGGAAAGAGGGAAGCATTTGATGTACTTGTTAGTAGCGGTTGCCTAACTGACATAGTGGATGACCAGGGTCACACCGTCCTTCACCTGGCCTGTTTAGGTGGACGTGTGGAGATGGCGAAGTATATCGTCTCACGGAAGATAGCCGACGTTAACGCCAGGGACAACGATGGGGACACAGCAGCCATGATAGCAAAGAGTGAAGGGCAACATGCGTGCTATCACTGTCTTGTTTCACGTGCCTGTTGAGCGAAATAGTGAACAGTAAAGAGTGACCCATTTCCTTTCTCGCACTATTTGTAGTTGCCATATGCATATCGTACGCCTCTGTCTTTATTGACAGAATTAAAGAATCTGTATTTCATTTGTCGTGTTCTTATGTCACGCTTCATGACCTTTGACAGTTACCGATTCTTTGGTTGTAGAATTTCAAATGATACCGTTAGTGCTATCGTGTTATGAGTCTTAGAGTGATCCAATGAGCGAGCGTTACAAGTTATAGTCACATAGACAGTATTTCAGCCATATCGTGACTGAAACAAGTCATATATTGACAGAAGAATTAACAAATCAACAAGGTACAGTCAACGAACTAGAATATAAACAATTGAACTAGTAACTTGAGTGAATATGAATCTCAGCAACGTTACAATGTTTAGAAGACAAAAACAAGCGGTCAAAGGGCACCACGCTGGGGACCACGTGGACGGTGTTTTTACTACTTGCAAGGTATCCCAGCTGCACTTCCACCATCTCTCTGATTCCAGAGGGTTAAGCATTCAGCAAGGACAGTATGGTGAGTGAGTGAATATATGGTCACATTGATATTGTGACTAAAACGGGTCATTCATTGATGTACATGAAAGTTATTTGGGAACGAAGACAATAAAGCAACTAAATTATCATTGATAGAGATTTAAAACTGGCATGTTACTTTATAATTGTACCACTATTCAGGGCACAGCCACATAGAAAACGCTATCGATCGCCAGCAAATAACGGTAGATTACCATACTAGGGATAATTACCATAATTAAACATTTCATATATTTTTTCTTTTAAAAATGGACTGGTGATCTACCTTCAGTTGTTGGCAATCCTCAGCCTTATTTTATATTGTATTGTCCTAATTTGAAATCCTTTTTTAGAGCTATACGCTAGTTCTATTTCCTATTACTGTGATATACTAGTTCGTTTTATTGTCCTTCGTCGACAGGTTTTTTAATCTTTGCGCATTTGTCATGAATTTCTAACTGTCTTAAGTCACGATATGGCTGAAATACTGCCGCTGTGACTATAAAGTTTAACTCACTCACTCACTCACCCATGAGATGGAAAAATCAATAGTCAAGCAGGACATGCTTGACCATTATTCCTTTCATCACAAGAGATACAGAATGGAGCACACTCGCCTTTTAATCAATATTCATGTGTATATCTTGTGTGGCCAATGGGACATCGTCGAAAAATTACCTCTTCAAATCCGGATTGATAGACCGAGTTTTGTAACTGATAATTCATATATTTGATGTTACATAATTATACCTACTTGCATTATATCACATATATAAGATCTAAGCACGATTTTATCATCGGAGTATGGGATGATAAGTGGTGGAACAGAATTGTTAGGATACCTTAGGATACGAATCTGTCATTGTGTTTACAGAAACCCAATATGGCTTGGTAACTCACAGAGGACGATGTCGTATTGGCCCAGAAGCAAGATCATTATATAACTTAAGTATTCCGATTAAATGTGGACGTTGAGAACAATTTTTAACAGCATGAGATAACCAAAATAGTCCAAAACTATTGAACATTATTTGTATGTTGGGTGTGCTTCTGCTGTGAAAACAGAGCAGTTATAAGGTAATCGAGAAGATATTGTG